ACTTAAAGATAATTTAAATATATGGACTAAAATGTGGTAACAAAATATTTATGCAATTCAATTTCAACCAAAATAATATCAAACATAAAATTGATAATAATGCACTGTAATGCATAATATTGTATTTTATGAATATACAGCCGAATTGTTTTAATGTAAAATTAAGTTAGGTGTATTCGGAATTTCTAATTTGAATGATTTATGAATATAATTTTTTGTATTTAGTATAAGTCATTTTATTATTTGTTGTGATTTAAAATAGAACATTTTTTAGTTATGAATTATAAATGTAATTATGACTATTAAAATGTTTTTTTTTGGTTTAACTTAAATTTAATCTTGTATTTTAATTACAAAAGGGACATTTCCATTGTTTTTTTTTTTTTTGTAATTTTACGTGTGATTCTAAGACATTTTTAATGGTACCAAAGATTTGGACAACCCTCTTGAGTACACATTATCATTTTTCCACCTATATTTTTTTTTACATGCGCAATAATTATAACGTAATATATCCTATTTATATTCCTCAATACTTGTTTGTTCCACGGAATGTCTATTGGTAAAATATCTGCCAAGTAACCCATGTAATATTGCTTCATAGAAAAATCTCTTTTCCGCCATTATTTCCATGTATACTTCATTGTTAATATATAATAATGTAATAATAATAATATTGTTAATATATTCGTTCTATATGGTGTTTGTTTGGAGACCATACCACTAAATCTCCATACTTTCACACACCAATAGTTGTTTGAATTTTATAAAAATACTGATGATTTTCTTTTATTTGATTTTCCATTTTTCAAGTAACTAAGACCTAAAACTAAGAACTAATTATTTACTATATGTTAGATCGTATTGGCATTCAACCTCTAAACATCCTTTACCACAACAATCACAGTAAATTATTTCACCTGGACTTGCTCCGATGAATGGGAAATTTAGATTGATGAGAGTAAAAAGTTTTTCTCTGTTAAGCTTAGCATTTTCATCTTTATACATGTTCGAATAATATTTTGAAAGTGCCTTAAGCAAAACCTTAGAATCATTCAACCGCTGAGAACGAGCCACCTATTGTTAATTAACAAAATAAAATTTAATAACTATAAATTAAAGTTGTAGCTAGTAGTAGCAGATTATCTAAAGTCATAGGTAACAACTAACAATACATTAATTATTTTATCCAGTAAACCAAATACTTTAATATTTTAGACACATAAATATCCGTGAAATATGCTTTCAGAAGCTTTCAAAATAGAAGAACTTAAAATTTTGCTGTAAGAGTGTGTATGAATATTTAAATACAGCTTTGAATACAGTTTACTAGGTTAATAATATTTAACATGTGTGGACATGAATGCATATCAGTGTCTTCAAAACATTTATTTGTTTCAGGAATTATATTTGAACATAATGCAAAAGAGTTTTGAACCATTATCATCATTTTTTGATCCATATTTTTTTTATAAATAATTGCTTTATGTCAACTAAAATAACTATACATTTAAAGTATTGTTTAGTAAGTTTGGCAATTTTGAAAAAACTTTCTGATGAAGACCACTTCGATTTTTCAAATTTGTTAAGTTATAAAATGCTTTTTTTATTTTTTTGACAATACACATGTTTATTTGTGTTATTTTAATTAATGTCTTAATATAATTTTGTTTAATGATTTACATTTTTGTTCGTTTTAAAAACTTGGCGTGAACACTATAGTTTACAAATGTTCGGTGTGGTGTGCAAGGACGATCCTGGGAATTATTTTTAGGAGGGTTTGGAGTGAATTTTCTCGATTTCTAAGAACAAAATTTGACGACTGTTTACAATGACGAATAGTATTTTATATCATAAAATCTGCCAACTGTTGTCAGCTATTACAGCTTTAGTTGATTTACAACAATCGTTAGTTCAAGGAAGAAATTATTAATAAAAAGACGGGTGCAGCCATTGTTATTTAGGTAATAAAATGTGTACCTATAAGCAACAATAAACCATTGCATACGAAAAAACGACTCTGAGCGGAGTTCAGTTGATAGTGATGCTTTGTCAACTATATATATGCCATATTATAGTAAAATCATTAAAAGGACTTTATTTTCTTTAATAATAATTGTTTAATAATGTACCGATTTTCCAGTGTTTCCTACCTTTTTTCCGGTTTTTCATATTTGCTGGGAAAATTCTTGAGAACATCGAAAAATAACAGAATCTTCCCAATCAGATTTCCTTTCAGAAAAGTTGCTGTCATTGTAAATCAGAGTAAAATTGTTAGTAGAAAAGTTGTCATATAGAAAAAAAAATCATAATATTTTACTAATATATTTCGTACATTTTCCTGTTTTTCTCAGTTTTCGGTTTTTCATATTTGATAAGAAAACTTCTAAGAAAAGGTTCTAAATCATATACATCGGAGTAAGCTTAGTAGAAACTGTGTTTACAAAAAAAAAAAATATAAACATCTTTGTAAAACCAATAAATTCTTCGGTACACTCAGAATCTAAAAACCGAATGTAATAATTACATTTATTACGCATATACGATTACACGTAACGAAACACACGCATGTACGCAACGGTTCGATCACTAAATACTAAACGACTGAATTGGCTGTTAAGTGTTTATTCATAAATAAATCATCTAACGACTAGAACGTTTATACCTGTATACAAAAATATTTTGTGTTCGCTGGATGCCCCATTGTCATTATGTTGTCACGTGAAATCCTGACGTATTAATTTGCAGCCCAAATCATAAAAATACAAATAACTCTTTATTTTTTGAAGTTGACATTTTTTTTCAGTAACGAAAAGTTTTAAATTCTTCATATAGTATTCTGGCATCCAGATGTTCCTCAAACATCTGCTGCTCGGGTCAAGTACCCTTAAAACCCTCCTTCAAATACGGTCCTGCGGTTAATTGTTTTTATTTTAAATACTGTTTCGAAAACCAAAAAAAAATGATCTATGTATTACCAAGAAAATAATATAACTTTCAGAAAAGGTGTTACACTTATACATAGGAGCAAGTTTTATAGGATAAAAGTGGTCTACAGTATAAAAAAATAAAAAACCATTGTAAAAAATTTTTAAAAAGGATAAAAAATCGTCCGATGATTTTGGAAATTTTGCCACGTCTAGCTAAGTCCAATACAAGTATTATTACAAAGTTTAAAATCTATTATGAGTATTTATAACCGAATTACAATAAAAAAACTCCTAAAAATTGAAATCAAAAAGGTAACAAAAAAGGTGTCTTGTGATTTTTCAAATAAATCATTTTTTTTCCGTCATCCGTGTTTTTATAAAATAATGAAATCGTGAAATTTTCCTTTTTTCCACATTAGACTCTTTACTGATAAACGAAGTAGAAGTGTACAACATATTTGATAATAATATACATAAATTATTATAAAGTAGAAGTTGAAGATTGTGTCCTGTACTATATTTGTGGCTGTATAACAAAAAATATCAAAAAAAATAAAATGCAATACCTAGTTGTCTAACAGTGTTAACTGGTATGTACCTATGTGAAACAATTAATTTTAAAATAATCATCAATTTGAAGTCAATAAATAATCGCCATGATTTAGGTAAAAAGTCTTACTCAAGCAAACCAAAAGCTATCTACTCTTCTTAATTTAAAAACACATATGGTAGTTTGACACATTCAAATGATTTTTTATTTAGATTACTGACGTTGTTGAAAAATAAAATTTAGGATTATTATAAAGTAACTAATTTTTGATTCTGTACATCGATAGCACTAGGTATACAGGTTGTATCGTTTGAAAACATTTTAGGTCCACTGATTTAATCTTCGTTTCCAGTCCTGTATATCTAAGTTCCTGATAAAAATCACGATTTAAGATAGTGAATGTACAAATTAACAAACAAAATGTTAAATCAAGTTACACTTTATCTCAAAAGTTAACTATGAAGAAATCTGGTAATCAAATATATTAAAAATAATTAGGAACCTTAGAGGGAAGACCATTTAGCCAGAAAACTAAAAATTAAATAGAAAATAGAAAACCTTTTGGAAAAAAATATTATACAACAAAGACATTTTTTTACAGCAGTAATACCAACAAGAACCTAATATACAATATAGTTTGTATTGATCTCATAAACATATACAATTTATTTTATTTAAGTATACTATAAAAATGTATTTTTGGCTATCTCCTAATATGCGGTCTACCTCCGTTTTGTGTACTGCGTAACTATAAATATGAGTAAAGTATGCGGTCTACCAATGTTATGTGTCCTTTAGCTGGGAATCCCGTATCATTTATATTTATTATCTAATAATTTATAGGTTTTATCTTAATTGTTCATAATGATATATATATTTGATCATGTAACAATATAGGTCACTAGGTTAGTTGGTTTAGTGTCCTTTGTGCTGAAACAACTTTTTTTAAATTTTTGAGCTGAAAAAATAGTTTTTAAAATGCTTGTTAAATAATTTTATAACATTTTTTTAACTGAAGAATCTACTATCAAATACTTGCAAGGTTGTGACCTACTACCTTATACAAAACAATGTTTCAAATGTGGCAGTGAAGTAAAACTGTACCAAAGAAATAACTGAGGAATAGTAAAAGAAGTTTTCCGGTGTAAAAAAAAAAAAGGCTGCCAAACTACCCAATCGGAATGTAATGATAATTCATTTTTTACTTACATGGACGCAAATGGTCGAAACAATAGTGGAATGAGTCTCAGTGAAATCACGGAGATTGTGTACTTCTGGGTTACGGACAATCAACTTTTTTAAATAATAGAATTTACGAGAAGATCCACAAATAATATTTGTGACTGGATGAATCTCTGTAGAAACATCCATATACGTATATTTAAAAAAAGGCAACCTTTTAGAGGTTCTGGTCAGATTGTTCAAATTGACGAATGTTTGATGCGGGACACAGGGAAAAATAATAGAGAACGCTTTCGACTTACTAATTTAAAAAGTGCAGTTATACCTAGACAAGAAGATGAAGAAGACACCAATCGCAATTATGGTCGGAGAGTTGGTGGACCATGGGTAGTCGGATTTTTTGTTATTGGAGAAAAAAAAAATGAAAAATTACATCAAATAATTAAAAATGTACCTATGCAATAATATGTACTGTTTATTGTCTATATAACGATATATGTTTAAAAACTGGATTATTTTTAATGTATTACCTGGTATAACAGTTTATTCTGATTCCTGGCTTGGATATAAAGATACATCTGAAAAGAGTTACATGAAACAGTTAATCGTTCAAAGAATTTAGTGAACCCAGAAACTGATGCCAATACATAAAGAATTGAAAGTCTTTGGAGGCCTTTTAGACTGAAAATCGTTAAGAAAATGTGTGGTACTAATGATGACCTCTTATAAAGGTACTTAGCCGAGTATTAGTGGCGAAGATTAAATAAAACTGATAATATTTTTGATGCTTTCCTTAGAGATATGCAATTATGCTTTGTGGATAATTCGTAATATTAATAATAGTACCTATGTACTTATGTACATGTAAAATCATAGTATAACATTTATAAATTAATTTTTTAATAAATTAAAATTCTTTTTATACTTTTAATATTATTACCGCAGTAAACCATGTCCATTTTGGTAGACCTTATATTGAGATATGGTCGTATTTTTTTTTACATACTTAAAGAAACTAGAAATACAAAACTATCTATCGTATTTTTTAACTCTAACTTAACTGTTTAGAAATATACCTATATTTCTAAACAGTTAAGTTATAGGCATAGTTACAGTTTAGTTAACAGTTACAGGTCTATTTATAGTTAACCATAATTTAATGATAAAAAAAATAACGTTGCCAAACCAATAATTGGCGCAGATTTTCTGTATTATTCTGATTTACTAATCGACATCTGCTGCAAACGTTTAGTCAGTAATATCGGTAATATGTCCAGCCTGTCCACTTTAGCAAACTCTCCGTTAAGGTCCTCTCCACATCGCAGCTGCACAGGTATCCGGAGATTCTGAAGGATTTTCCGCAAGTAACCCGTGAGTCCCTGATTCCCGAAAAATTCTTACACAACGTTGTCCACGAGCTCCGGTTTATTCACGCCCTCGTTGACTCCTTTCGGCTTGTTGGCTGTTTGAATTTTCTATAATGTGTTTCGGCCTTAAGAATGCAGCGCAGACTTTCCAGCGCGTGATCAACAATATGTTGCGTAGTCTGAAATATGCATTTGCATATATCAACGATGCTCTCATCGTATCCCCCACCCGCGCGAGGGCCATGAACAGCATGTTCGCGTCGTCCTTCAACGTTGCCGCGATTAGGATATCGCTATCAACCCGGCGAAATGCATCTTCACCATCAAATTACTGTCGTTCCATGGACATATTATCAACGAAAATACTTGCTAACCGAACTCGAAACATATCATCGCCATAAATGAGTGGTCACTTTCGACTACTAAGAAGGGATTGCTGAGAATAATCGGCTCCGTCAATTTTTACAGACGATTTATCCTCAACGCAGCTTCAATCCAAGTGCCTTTTTATGTTCTCACAGCTAAGATTAAAAAACTAGATGGCCCGCTTACATTGACAGAGTCAACCTGGATAAGCTTCAACTCGTATCGCACAGCTCTCGCGGACACCGCAAAACTATCGCATCCAAACCACGACACGTCTCTAGGCTTCTGTGTAGACGCTTCAAACACAGAAATTGGCGCTCTTCTTGATCAGAAAGTCGACAACGTATGGCATCCACTCGGTTTTTTTTTCAAAGAAATTGTCTGATGCCCAAACTAGGTACAGTACTGTTGTTTACTGACCACGTGCTGTTGGCAATTTACCTAAGCACTCAACAGTTTTTACATATCATTGAAGGATGATTTACCACACTATTCACCGACCACAAACCACTCCTCTTTATGTTTACCAATCAAGTCAGAAAAAAACCTAGATCGACAGGTTTGCCAAAGTTCTTTTCTCTTACAGTTTATCCTTACTGTTGAACACGTCGAGGGTGAGAAGAATGTCGTCTCGGACGCTTTTTCGCGTTTGGAAGCCACAGAAAAACAATTGCCCGATATCAAGCAATGGTCAGTGGACCAGGCCACTGACCTCAAACTTTAAAAGTTAATTACAGGCACCATGAAAAGTTCATTGCGTCTGAAATCACACAACACCGTGCACGCTACCCTGTACGCCGATCACCTAATCGATCGCTCATGAATGTTTGTTCCATAACAACACCGCAACGACGTTTTCGTCACTATACACGTTAATCCCACGGAGGTCGTGCCGCTACCCTACGTTTAATCAAAACTCGGTACTGTTGATCCGGTATAAACCGCTAAATCGGCCGTTGGACTAAGTGCTGCATCCAGTGCCGAAGCACCAAAACACAACGCCATAGCACCCTTCGCTCCACTAAAACGTCATTTTTGACACATTCATCTTGATTTTGTAGTTCCACTGCCTTCTTCAAACGGTTGCAAATACATATTAATGTGTATTAACGCGATGCTTGGCCGTTGGAAAATATTACAGCGCACACAGCCGCCGTAACACTCACTACGCAATATATAGCAAATTTCGGCGTACCAGACGTGGTCACGATCGACCAAAGTCAACAATTTGAGTCCGACCTTTTCCGTTCTCTGTTGAACTCCTTCGGCATCCGACATATTCGAACATGGCCTTAACACCCACGCTCAAATGGCCTCATCGAGCGATTCCACCAGATGCTAAAGTCATCGCTTACAAGTCGCAATAACCCAAATTGGACACTTGGCCTGCCAGTAGTCCTGTTGGTACTACGGAATAAGGTCAAACCAGATATCGGCAACACTGGTCGAACTAGTTTACGGTATAGTTCTTCGCCTGCCCGGCGAACTACTTCATCCCGTTCCCGCCGACTTCTAGTACCCTGGGCTCATCAACACCCTCTGTAACACCACGAGCTTAATGCGACCTGTTCCCGTCGCCAATCATAACTCGAGTCGTTCCATCTTCATTCCCGCCGATGTTAAAAAAGTAAGTCACGTTTTCGTCTGTATCAATTCCATCATCGCTCACCGCTCAGTCCACGTAACGAAGGGCCATTTCCCGTCCTGATTCGAAAAGACGAAAGAAATCGAAAGGAAAATATCAAGGTTCAATACAACAACCGTACCGCTTGGCTGTCCGTGGAATGCCTGAAACCAGCTTTCATCCTACGGGAGGAGGATCCAAGGATGGAGCATTCCTATGCAGTTCAATCCAAAATCACCAGGAAAGAAAAACGGGTTCGTTTTTCTTTTTTTCCATCAGGAAAATTTGAAATACGGAACAATCCCGTATAATATGGGACATATGTTCACCCTAATTTAAACCCTCAAATTCTAATTATTCCTAATTTAAACAGTTTTTAGGCACAAACGATCTCTTTGCTTTATTATCTTCAAGTTTACTCTGCTAAAGAGTTGTATTGTCTGCTTAATGTTGTTTATTTTGTCCCAAATGATTGTCAATGTTTGTTTATCATTAATAACGAAATGCTCCATGTTCAAAGAACCTCTAATAAAGCTTGTTTGATTCTAGTACTAAAAATTAATTATTTTTATTAATAAATCAAATTTAGTTGTCAAACTAATGAACCACATTTTGCTACAAACATTAATATTGATATTCATTGACGGAATTACGGCTTCAAAAAAAGGTTCTTTACATCAAATACCAATGCTTGTTCTTCTTTGAATTCTAGTTTACTAACCAAATTAACAGCATATAATTTTTAACCAGCTTCTAATATTATTTTGGCAATAATTATTCTTTTTATCGTTGCAGTTTTTAGCAATTCTAAATTCATAGACAGCAAAACAGTTGCAATATTTCATGTTTTGTAAGTACATAATATCAATTATCTTACTTATCAATAACATCTGGTTTTTCATACTCCTTGATTGGCATGCCAGTTATAAACGATATGAGCATACGATGCACAACTATGTCTGGATATCTAAGAATGGGTGATGTAAAATAGGTATAAAATGGTTTATTCAGTGCGTAGTGAGATATGTTTGACTCTGGATAAATTACGCAGTATTCAGCAAGCTATCAAAAAACATAATATTTAAACTATTTTCAAAATACGGAGTTATACATAGATCGTTGGGTTTCCATAGGTCAATTTTGTTATTTTACTTACAGCCATTGTCTTTGACAAAAATATTATTAATAATAATATCTCGATGGACATTCTCACTTCTTAGACTTTTTGACTTGGCGAATATTCATAAACCTTCAAGGTTTTTATAGCTTTTTCCATGAAAGTGATTGGGTAGCTTTGATTGAAAAATAAGTCTTCAAATGTTTAGTAACCAACATGTTGCAGTTAAGAGAGTTTAATTTAAGAAAAATTTAAGGTTTCTATCATATGTATTCTTTTTTTTTAACATTATTAAAAATTATACATTCAATGAGTTGTTGTTTGAATTTATTAACTACTTTTCTTTTATAAAGAAATAAACTACTAAAACAGGGATTTAGACGTGTTTTATTTCCAACTAGATTAATCTAGGGAAATGATAAGAATTCTGAAAGCAGATTTGAATTTGTCGTGAAGTCTACTTGATCTCAACCTTCCCACTTTTTTTATTTTTGATTTTAATTTCTTAAAAAATTTAAATATTACATTTTTTAAATTACTCTTTTATTAGTATGGATTTTTTAGAATTTAAGGGATAAATTTAAAAAGTGGAAAGTCGAATGTCAATCTCAAGTAGACTTCACGACGAATTCAAATCTGTTTCCAGAATTCTTATCGCTTCACTAAATCAATTGGTACGTTGAAATTAAAACACGCCTAAATCTAAAGATAGAAAGTTGTCGCTTTCACCATATTTCAGAAGTCCAAACGTCATTCGTCGACTGTATGTATATTTTATATTTATTTGGATACTCATTACTCATTATCAAAAAATAATAAATGTTGTCGTTCCGATTTCACCATAAATACGGAATTCATCACACGACACGAGTTCGGCGTTTTAATGGTTCCATAATATAGTACCTATAGAAACTCGAATATTATTATCATTCTTCCCATAATCCCGATAATATAAAATATATTCATGCGTAGCGGTTATACCTCCGCGCTACGCCGTAGCCGCTTATCCGAAATGGTCTACAAAGCTGAACGAGTCTTTATAAAATAAGCCGTCAACAATATGAACTGCAGTATATGTAGTATAATGTACAAAACAGAACAAAACATAACTCTAATATCCGTCTAATGTGGTGTACCATACATAATATCTTAAGATACAGCTCGTTTTTAAATTCATTTGCATTACGAATTAAGGACCCAAGACTCCTAAGTGCTTTCGAGTATATATTATAATCAATATAAGAAGAAAATAATAGATTTAACTGGAATACCACCCCCAGATTATGACATAAATTAATGTCAACAAGTTTATCACCGAATATATAATAGTTATTATTTATCTTATTATTAGAACGAAAAAATGACATTTGAAAACATTTAGCCGTAAGATCATTAAAAAGGGACCAAAAGACAAAGAGTCGAAAATTTTACTGAAGTCTGTATCAGGACCGTATATCGCCCCTATCGGTCCCCCTAGGTATTGTTTCATGTACAATATGTTTAAATTTGTTTCATGTATTTATTTATTTTATTATTATTAAACAAACATTTTAAAAAAATTTAATTTTTTTCTGCGGAAATGGTTATCAATAATTTATTAAGAAATTGATAAGAGATTAAAAATATTGTGGCTATCATCAACTGTTGGTTACAAAAATTATATTGTGATTGTCTATACGATTATTGTCTGCACTCTGTAACCGTAGTCCTTGTTATTAACCTATTCTATTTTCGGGGAATGTTACCATAGAGCCGTGATAACTATATAATACTTAGACAGTCTGATTTAAATATTTAATTGATAATTTAGTTAATTATTTAATTATTTTCGTAAATTTGCTCACCTTTTTTTCTTTACACTAAACATAACTACTCTGGCTTATCCTTTCTGAAATATTCTTAATGTTACATCAGATTAAAAACATGACTGAGAAGTCAAACGTCCCAGACTTACAGGTTTAGCTTTAATGAATATTTATAGAAACATACCAATTAATGTTGTTGGCGTTGGGAAAGTGGCGTCCCTATCGCCCAGTGCCTTTAATTGGGTGCTGCAATAGCCCCACCCTGATCTTAAGTGATCGGAGTGGTCTGGTCCTCCAGGTTGGGGGTTTAGTTCAGGGCTAACGCCCCTGCCTAGTAAAAAATCTTCTGTTCAGGATCTAATAAACATAAACATGCCTCAGATAAGTGGAGCTTTGGATAAAAAGACTGGAAATCGGAAAAATGGCTTATTGTTTGGGACATGGAACGTACGTACTCTTTTCAAACCTGGAGCGGCCCAAAATATTGTTAAAGAAATCGAGAAATACAAGTTAACAATAGTGGCTTTACAAGAAATTAGATGGGATGATACTGGAACGATAGATATACAAGAAACAACAATACTTTATGGTAAATGCAATNTTCTATGAGTGCTTGGATTTAACATTAAATGCATTACCTCAACACAGAATTAAAATAGTCTTAGGTGACCTAAACGCAAAAGTTGGTAAAAAGGCTGTATTCAGACCAATAATTGGTAGTCACAGCCTGCACGAGGTTACAAATGATAATGGATTAAGACTTATCGATTTTGCATGTGGAAATGGCCTTGTAGTGAAAAGCACAATGTTCCCTCATAAAAATATTTATAAAGGAACATGGATGTCACCAGATGGAAGGTGTGTCAACCAGATCGACCATATTCTAGTGAGCACAAGATTCAAAAACTGTATTCAAGACATAAGAACGATGAGAAGAGCCGATGGTGATTCGGATCACTATCTGGTGAAAGGATAAATGAAAGTCAAAATAAAAAAGGTTACTCGGAAAAAAGGAATAGTGGTAGACAAATATGACACAGCTAAACTAAATAATGTGAATACATGTGACAGATTCAAGTATCAGATGTCGGAAAAAATCAGGAAGATAGATGCAGGTATAAATGACTCAATTGATGTAAAATGAAAAAAAATTAAAGATAAAATAAAGATTGTGACAGAGTCAGAAATCGGAAAAGTAAAAGCTGTAAGAAAACCATGGTTTAACGACATGTGTGAAGATGCTCTAAATCGGAGAAAAGAAGCTAGAAACCAGTGGCTTAATGACTAACATAATATAGAAAAAGAAATTGCGTATAAAGTATGTCAGAAGAGCGCAAGTAGTGTATTCAGAAATGAAAAACGAAAATATACTCGGAAATTATTGGAAGAAGCAGAAGTAGATTCTAGAATGAATAGAACGAGATAGTTATACCAAAAAATAAACAGTATAAGAGGAGGATTCAGAAAACATAACAAGTTCTTGAAAAATGAAGATGGTTCACTGACAACAGGACAGGAAGAGATGTTGGAAAAATGGAGACAATATTTTGGCCAACTGCTCAACTGCGAAAATCCAGAAGAAACTTTTGAATGGACACTAAAAACCAACGATTAGAACCAACGGTAGAAACCAACGATTGCGAATGCCTACCCCCTACTATCAATGAAACGAGACACCAAATATTAAGGTTAAAAACCAAAAATCTCCCGGAGAAGATGGGATTCAGGGAGAAATATTAAAAAAATTAGATGAGGAAACAGTATCAAGAATACATAGTATTATTGAAATTGTTTGGCAGGAGGAAAGACTCCCGGAGGAGTGGAATACTGCGCTAGTGTGCCCTATTCACAAAAATAACGACCCCCAGATATGCAACAATTATAGGGGAATTGCATTATTAAACGTAACCTATAAAATTCTTGCATATTGCCTATTAGACAGAATAAAGCCGATTGCGGAAGAAATAATAGGGGATACCAAGGAGGTTTCATACCAAACAGGTCAACAACAGACCAAATATTTGTGATTAGGCAGACCCTTCAAAAAATGTGGGAGTTCAATAAAGACGTGTATATATTATTTGTGGACTTCAAGAAAGCCTACGACTCTATCCACAGAGCAAGCTTAATCAATATTCTTAGGGAATTTAAGTTTCCAAAAGAGCTAGTTAATCTTGTAGAGGCAAGTTTAAATGGAACAAAGATTAAAGTAAAGCTAGCAAATACGTTGTCACAACCAGTGGAAGTGGTGACAGGCTTAAGACAAGGAGATGCGCTTTCTCCTGTACTATTTAACTTAGTGTTGGAGAAGATAGTAAGAGAAATCAATTTATGTGAAGGGGTTGAGTTAGGTCGATCGACAATTAATATTCTGGCATATGCGGATGATATCTCTCTAATGGGAAGGAGTAGAGAGATGATAATAAAAATGGGGAAATCATTTATAAAGGCTGCGGAGAAAGTAGGACTAAGGGTTAATGAAGAAAAAACAAAGTACATGGTGGTCAGTCGGAGAAATGGAAATCAGGTACAAGAAGAATTCATTGAAGTGGAAGAATACAAATTTAAAAGAGTGGACCAATTCAAATACTTAGGGTCAATTATAACTCAAGATAACGACATTAAAACAGAAATTTTAATGAGATTACAATCAGCTAATAAATGTTTCTTCGGACTTAGTAAAATTTTTAGATCAAGAGCAATCTCTAAGAATTTAAAAGTTAGAATGTACTTAACTTTGCTAAGACCAATTATCCTTACGGAGCAGAAACATGGCCTCTGAGAAAGACTGAAGAACGAAGAATTGCAGTATTTGAGAGAAAAGTACTCAGGAAAATTTATGGGGCATACTTTGATGTTCTCACAAATGAATGGAGGAAATTACACAATGAAGAACTGCAATCCCTTTTTCAACGACCGGATATACTGAAAGAGATAAAGAAAAGAAGGCTAGTTTGGGCTAGACATGCCTGGAGGAAACATGACTCATTAATAAGAAGAGTAATAGAGGAAAATCCAGTAGGGAGGAGACCTCTTGGAAGACCGCGTTTAAGATGGGAGGATTGCGTAAGGAGAGACACTGAAACAGTGGAGCCGGAGTATCATTGGCAGGAAGTAGCAGAGGATAGAGATATTTGGCAGTATGTTTATCTAGAGGTATGGTCTTGAATGGCCGAAACCAAGAAAGAAAAAGAAGAAGAAGAAGAACCAATTAATGTTATAAAAGTAATAGAGAGATTTTCAAAAACCAACAGAAAATTGGATTATGTTATTTAAATATTTAATACAGTAGAACCTTGATTATTCGAACTAATTGGGACCACATCTAGTTCGTATATTGAAAATATAAAATAAAAAGTTTTTATAATATTATGTATTAATTATTTATTATTTTTATAATTAAATATTTATTATTATTATTAATATTTTATTAGAATTACATATATTACATAATCAAAAATACATTACATTATTAGAAATACATTACGTACATACATTATTAGAAATACACTACATTTATTATTTATTATATTTTTTTGAAAAAATTATCAATTTTAATTTGACGATGAGCTGCAACCCGCTTTTCTGCAGCCATGTCTCGCAAACATTTAAGAAGAAGTAATTATGTTGGACAACATTCGGCCTGTTTTTCAAACCACTCAAGACCAGTTTCAAACGCAGCTAATGCTTCAGTAGATGTTGGTCCTTTTGGTGTACCCATACTTTCATCACTACTGCTGTCGTCACTTTCTTCATTTTGCAACGAAGAAATGATTTCATCGCTATCTAATATTGATATCCTAAATCAGGGGCCGGCAACCTTTTTAGTGTCAAGGGCCAAAAATAATAAAACAAATTTTCACGGGCCATACACCTTATTTTATTTACATTTTAAATTTTAAACAATGTTTAATTTAATTTATTTAAGTTTCACCACTGTTTGGTACCTATATTAATTTAACGTGGTATATAAGTAATAACAAAGTTTTAATAATAATACAAAAAAAAAAAAGTAAAAATGTATGTGATTTTTGAATTTGAATAGCATTGACAAGTTTATTTATAGTAGGCTTGATTTTCGATGTAGAAATTCTCAAAACATTTTTCAAGTGACGATCGGTTAATCGGAAAGCATATTTCCTTTTTCGATATTTCATGAGTGAGAAAGTTTGCTCGTAAATATAAGTGCTGCCAAACACGGATAACATTTGTTTGACAAAATATTTTAGTTTATTAAATTTGGTTTCACAGATACTTGAATAAAACTGAAATAAGTTGTGGCCATCATGAAAAGCAGTTTTAAGACTTTCTTCACTTTGCAACTCAATAATTTCCATTTGTAAACAGCTTTCAACGTCATCAATATCAACTACAAATAGGTTTTGAAATAATTTTATTTTGAAGTCAATTGAATAAAAATCTGAAAATCTGGTTGAAAATTAATTTTATAAATTTTCAATGATATTCAAAAATGTTACTTTCACTTCATCCCAGTTACATTGTTGAAATGTCTCCATGGCTTGTTTTCAACAAACGAAATGATCTAATTTTTTTCCATCAATATGCTTGTAAAACAATTTTAATTTAACTGAAAATGATTTAATATTCGAGTACATATCTGGTAGAAGTTTTTCCATTCCTTGTAATTTTACATTTAATTCATTTAAAAATATGGTAATATCAGTTAAAAAAGCAAGATCGAGTATCCAATTTTTGTCCGATAATTGGGGAATATGTTTTCCTTTTTCATTAATAAATACATTTATTTCCTCTCTGAGAACAAAAAGTCATTTTAAAGCTGCTCCCCTACTTAACCAACGAACTTCTGTGAAATAAATAACATCACCATATTCAGCTTCAACATTATCTAAGAACTGTTGGAATCGTCGATGGGCCAACCTATTTTTTCGTATATAATTTAAGGTGGGTACAATTGTATCTATGATATTTTTCCAAGCCAAAACTTTGCTACATAGTGCCTTTTGGTGTATAATACAATAAAAAACCATAGGTATTTCAAATTTACTATTAATAATTTTTATTTTGATTCTCCCAACGAAACCTTTATTTATACCACTCATATTTTTTCCTCTGTCAGTAGTTATATTAGTTAATTTTTTCAACGAAAGCCCTAATTTTTCAAATGAATTTTCAATATTTTTAAATATATCTTCACCTGTTGTAGTGCCTTTTATACTACATATATCTACTAACTCGTTATAAACATTAAACTCCTTATCTATTCCACGCCTAAATATTAAAATTTGAGCCGTATCAGAGATATCTGTGCTATTATCGATAACTATCGAAAAACAGTCTAATGACGGTATGATAATACCTTTTAATTGTGAAAATATATTACTTCCTAATTCCTCAGTTCGTCTCACACATGTTCGAGTCGAAAAACTGATTTCTTCAAAAAGTTTTATTTTTTCTGGACATAACTCATTGACTAACATGCATTGTTTATATTTTATATTCTATATTTTTATACTAATTATAAATTGCAATCGCGAGCCGCATAAAACCGCTACATGGACCGCATGCGGCCCGCGGGCCGCAGGTTGCCGACCCTTGTCCTAGATCATTTACTTTTATAACTTTCCTTCTTTTTATTCCATCACCACTATCCATCTTTGACGCAAAATCCATGATTGCATTTAATGGTTGTTTTTAATATCTGTAACTGTTGCTTTACCTATATTATAAAGACGGGCTAAAGATACGCTAGTCTCACCTTTGTCCAGTTTAGCAAGAATTTCTATTTTTTGTTCCATCTTAAGAACATGACGTTTAAGTTTATTAAACATTTTAGATACTTGACAATCGTAATATATTTGTACGTATGTATAACGATGTGTGTGCGGTAGTTAGCCGAACTAAACTGACAAGTTAAACACGAGCACGTCGTTTAGATAAGCCCGTTGCGTTTTGGTCATCTATTAATGATTGACGCACGTAAAATACGTACATAATATCTATTAATAATAAACCAAAAGCGTTAATTATGAATAATTCCATAAACCGGCCGGCCGACCGGACGACCGGCCGGATAGGAGAACATTTTCATGTTCGGATAACAGAACGTTCGGGTACGCTAATTGTAGTTCGGATAATAGAGGGTTCGTATAACGGAGGTTCGGATAATCGAGGTTATACTGTATTGTAATTCGTATATTTTTTTTATATATATATATATTTAGATACCTATGTAGTATGCCAAAAGTTAAATAAAGTTATTTTATTTGTTAGTTATATTGTTGATGTTGAATATGATAATTTTTAATAATAATTTATTATTATTGTAGAAATGTATATGCAATTTGTAGTTTCAAAGTGGGTAGAAATCAATTATTCAAGTTTTAAGCAAGCGAAACGATCGAAAAATTTTAAACTGCCGATCTATTTATAATCTGTAACACTGCTGTTTATAGACATATACTTTTATAACTAATAACTTATAAGTATGATTAAACTTAAAATTTCGCCCCCCCCCTCCCCTGGAATATGAGCTGAATACGCCCCTGGTCTGTATATATACCAGGCTCCATAGTGCAAATAAAAGTATAATAAAAACACATTAAATTAGATTCCACAGAACGCCCCTTCCTGAAACCAATGTTTGATTTACAGATACAGATACGAATTTAAATAGGTATCTTAAATAATTATTGTATTCTACATTATATATTATACATATACTATATGCGATCGAAGAAAAACATAATTTTGTTTAAATGGTACCTATACAAATTTTAAAATGGCGATTGTGACAATATGGTGTATAAAAATAAACTGAACTGCAAGTACCTACCTGTATAGAAATATACATAGGTATTTACACTATCTACCAGTAAAAAATGTAAAAATGTTCTGTTATATATAGGTATATATATTGACATATTGTAAAACATAATATTTTAGGTACCATTAATGTTAAAGTTACTAAGCCAATAGTAATAATGCATTTTGAACTTTTATATTAGGTAAGTAAGTACATTTCAACATCAGTGGGTATGTTTGTATAATAAACTCGATCATTATTTATTATCGTATTTTTTATAAAACATTTTAGTAAAAAAGTCCACTTACTTTTAGTGAATTGTTAAGTATTTGTTTTTCTAAAATATTTGCTGAGCAATCACCGTCCAACTGACATTATTTATTTAGCGGCCTCTCCGTAAAATCACTTTTTCCACGTCACTTGGTTTGTTTATGTTTCTTATCATTGGTTTTTCTCCTCATTATTCGAATAAAGAGTTAATTCAAATTGCTAGATTATCTTAAAAACCACAAATCATGTAGGCTTGTACATGTAGATGTAGATCATGTAGGTTTACCATTTACAAAAAACCTAAAATCCAAATCGCCAAACATATATTCCTATCCATAACAATCAGACTCGTACTGGGTTCTATTTTTTTCCCGGGAAATTATATTACACACTTATAAACATAAATTATAAACGTTCTTCAAGTATTCCAAAATATTTCAATAGTATTTGAGGGTATTTGTTTATAAGGAAATTTCTACACTCTTTAAAAATTGTATTATAATAGACAAACAGTGCTGGTTTTATGTTCGGTAAATCTACTACAGCTATCTCTTAGTTTTGCAACAATATATTTTAAGTGCCTTTAAATAAAACTGTTTCATTTGTTTGGACAATTATTATTGGAATAACATTTAAAATTACATTTTTTTCTTACCAATTTGTGTTTACATTTTTTGTTAAATCATTTTCTAAGACAATTAAATCTTTTATACCCTTGTCCTTCCTCCCTAATTCAAAAATGTTCTCGTTGCTTCTCTTAAAGAAATTTTCAGATTAGTAACGTCCCCAGCACTTACAAATTTTTCTTTACACGTAATAAACTGGTTACGACTTTTTGTGTGTTCCTACTTTCCTTCGATGGTTTCTATTTATAATATCTATGTGCATTATATTTACAAATACTCAAATCTAAGTATTACCTAATAGTTTAACTCCAAGACAGCAGTGTTATTTGGGGGGGCAGAGTGTACGTTCGCACCTCTTTCTTTTAAAATAGTCCCAATTGGCCTGTTGAATTAATTTGCCATTTTTAGATTCTAAGTGGTTCTACGCAAGGTGTAATTTACGTGCATCGATTTTTCACTGTATGCGTATCAAAATGTTTAGAAAAATATTCTATAGTCTGCAAATCTGTGACGTTTAAAACGGTAAAAGGGCCCTATAATTCCAAATCAATTTTTTTAAGGTATAGACATACAAAGTACAAATATAAAAATTCACCGCTTTTACAATGTTATTAGTCAGTTGTTCATCAGCACTATCAATTTAAATAGGTGTTCTTAGTCACTGTGAGGGTTAAGGTCTCGTCTAGATTCATTCTAAAGAGGTCCCAATCTGTTTTCTTGTTGATTAGCAACATCTTTCGTTGTTTATGTATAACATTAGAACTTAATATGAGAAGCACTGGTATGTGATCTGACGTTAATTCTGTAAGTTCTAATACTTCAATATAATTAGAAGATATACCTTTCATAATAAAGAAGTCAAGCAGGTCGGGAATCTTGTTCGGATGAGTGAGCCAACACGTTGGCTTACTTGTAGTGATGATTTCAGCATTGATGTTGTTTGCAACTTTTAACAAGGCTCGTCCTTTTGGGGTGATCAGTCTCGAACCCCAGTGAATATGCTTGGCATTATAATCACCTCCAACAATGAATCTAGAACCCAACATATGGAAAAAATCAGCGAACTTAATTTCATCTGCACCTCCTTGCGGTAGATAATAAATTTCAGCAACGGTGAGATCGTTATTCCCGTCATTAACGCTGACGCTTGTCGCTTGTATATGATTTAGTGAGTATTTTTCGAGTTCATAGTGCTTTATGAACTCTTTTATTATTACAGCAGTACCACTCCAAGCTCTACTACTAGGATGAATTGTTGTATATATTCTGTAATTCATTATCTTAATAAAGGTCTATGTTGTGAAGTGAATTAACGAAATAAGGGCTATGTCAATGTTTTCACTGTATAAAAGGTCTTCAAGTTCTTGTCTCCACTGTACTAACCCATTGGCGTTCCATACAATGATCCGCAGTGTACTGTTAATTTCTTTATTTTCTGTGAGGTATTTTTGGACTTTGTCTGATTTATTTCCAATTTGTCCATTCTTGCTGGGATATTTGCTAGTGTCTGCATTACGTTGGTTAACGCGACTAGAATATCATTAAGAGTAATCGATTTTTCGTTTCCCTTTAGTTGAGATATTTTTGGATCGACTTTTGAAGTGTTAGTCATCTGCGGTATGAAACATTTGCTGTGACTGGTTTCTGCTGTATTCTTTGCACAGCAGAGACGTGTTTTGGATGTGCTCTTCCTATTGCTTTCTTGTAAGCAGGTAACCCTTCCAGTTGGCTGTGTGATTTTCACCACAGTTTGCACATTTTGCTTTTGTCTTTTTAGATTTTGGTAATTTTTAGATAACTTCGGTTATGTGTCCTTCACTACACTTCACGCATACAGCCGATTTGTGACAGTAATTTTATATGTGTCCGAGAACTTGGCAGTTCTTTCACTGCGGTACTTCTTTTTTTTACGTGTTGGTTCTATTTTTATTATCTGATGACATAGTAGTTTTATGTTGTAAATGTCTTTATTATTTTCCTGTGGTTTTAAATCTATAAAGAATAATGGTAGCCTTATGTATGTCCACTCGCCGTTTTTTTTTTAGGATCAGATTTTTTCTTGATCTGTATATTGGTTATTTTGTAGACACTTACCGATTTATGATGAGCATGGTAAGCATTTTGATGTTATTAAATTACTGAAAGAAAAAAAAAAAAAACGCGAACGATGGCACTTGAAAGCGAGAACATAGGTGTTGCTTGTTCAGCAAAACAAATCGCGACTAAATATAACATGTAAGATCCCACAATTAATGCAAATTGTTGTAGTTTGTTCAAAATTAAATTATATTAGCCAATTATAAAACAAGTAAATAATCTACTCATAAGTTAGGTATTAAGTTATAATAATAGAAGTTGACAATTATGCACTGTATCTACTCATAATACAATATTTTAATAAATTAAATATATATTAATTTATAATTTTAAATTTTGAGCGGATAGTTCATCTTATATAATTTCAGTAGGTCAAGATTACGATATTGGGTAATAATAGCACGAAAAAGGTGAACGGATGGGCAAAAATATTCGTATAGCTATTTATAATATATAATAGTTTAACTACATGAGGATTGGAAATAAAGTATAAAGGGGTAAGTGACCTGTATAATACAATTTATTTTCCGGCATGAACTTTTTTACACTTCTATAACCTCCGATGATTTACATTTTTAATGTGACCCTATTTTCACATGCAAATTTGATAAATATAATATAAGTACTTTCCTACTTGTAATAAATTTAACTTTTTATCGCGATAAAAAAAAAACACCATATATACATATATAAATATACCATATACCATATATAAACTCATATCGGTCTATTCCATAAATACTTTATTAAATTGGTTTTATTACTACAATGTTTTTTTTTTTTGTGTCTGTTATAAACTTTGGTAGAAATCTAGAATTGTTATAACTTTATATAACTTTATGTAACTTTATGTATATTATGTATGTTATGTATATTATACTAATTATCCACATCTCCAACTTTCCAGTTAAAGAAGTAAATGCCCATCAACAATATCATTAGCTCTTTGTTTTTTTTAAATTGTACAATTTATTTGGTCTATATAGTAACATAGAGATAGAGGATGATTTTTATTTCCAAATACAAATAATATTACGGCCGAATTATAATAATTCGGTTGCCCTGTGATATAATTACAAATTAATAAATGTGTTTGTGGTTTTCTCGCTTTTGTTTTTGAAACATAAATCTATAAGTATATCGTACAAACGGGTTTATTATTAATATTTATTAGAAGATGGATAGAAAAATAAACGTAGGGTCCCGAGTCCCTATTTCAGCTAACTATGTTGACTATTAAACATATACTGCAGGGGGATTCATTAAGCGTGCCTACCCCGTTTTTTGGTTAAATTTTGCATTTATTCAAATTCTAATTTTTGGAACTAATAAAACGCCGCACGCCGTGCCGCTACATAAAAAAATGCTCTATCACTACAACTTTCCCCTTAGCTAAAGTTAAAAATGGAATATCTCATTAAAGGGTTGACGGAAATCAAAAATTTTAACACCAACATTTATTTAAACTAATACGTCATCTATTTATGACATTTTTAATACAGGTTTTTATTTGAAAAACCAAAGTTGGTATCACCACAGGATACTCCTTAAATGTTGTCAAAAATCTAAGTATTCGAAAATATCGGCTTTAACACACTTGAAATTTCCAAAAAACAGAATTTATATGCTTGTAAAATTTAACCGAAAAAATAGGGTGAGCTCAATTAGTAAATTATCCTGTATAGTGATTATGATGAACGGTAAATGGTAAATATATGCAAGTACATACATAGTAAATAGTTATCGTCAATTCTCTAACACTTCAAAGATCTAAAAGTGTTGACGATAGTCTGGATAGTTATTTAAGATCAGAACAACTAATTGTTGAAGAACTAGCTGCTCCCTCATCATCATCGCCCTATGTTAATCATCAAATTTCACTATTTTTTTTTTTTAAACTATATAATTATGACATAGTACTATTTTAGTATTCAGTTATTTATTGTTTTGCCAAGAATATTTCTACTATATAAAATAGATGGGTGAAAATTAATTTGACTCTAGCGACTGAGTTGAGCTGCTCACGGGTGTTTTCCTTTGCAATGATTACATTATATAAACTAATTACCCTGTATATCCTATCCTCCTAACTAAGCACTTATCAAATTGAACAAAAAAATTCGAATTTTGAAAATATGAATAAGTTTATTTTTATTTATGTGTATAAGTAGATAGTTTTTTTTTTTTTTTTTTTACTATTAAAAATAACTAATGACGAACCCCCTTTTTTTAAATTATTTTAACACTATACTGGTTATTATATGACTCACATTGTTATGGGTAAGCGATTTTAATATTGATGATATGATGACGTTGTCGTACCTACACATATGTTTGCTTGCTGTGTAGTTCCGAAATATTAAATAATAGATTGTCAATATCCGAAATAATCAATATAAGGTCAGTTGCGATTCAACAGTCAGCATATATATAATACCCATAGATAAAGTATATAGGTGGAGTACCCACCTATTCGGTGATTGCGTTATATTCATAGTGCCAATTATTGCTTATATTCAATTCCGGTTAATCGCGTGGCCCCAATTAAAATCGAAAATAATAAACGCGCACGGCTAGTGCGTCGCATTATGAAAATACTCCCGGTTGGTCAGAAATAAATAATAGTGGTAGTACTTTTTCTTTCGTTTTTCAATTATTTTTCCGAGGCGACAGTAGGTGTACCGAAAGCTTTTATTATAATATATACATACACTTTGTCCAATCGTTTTACCGCCTAATTATTATTTACCGACAACGGGAACGCAGTTTGAATGGTTCAACAATAATGTCCAGAGTGCAAGTGACAACTTCATAGAAAATCAGAACCGTACCTAAAAATAAAAACTACCGCCTCCGTTCCAATTAAAATATTAAATTGAATAAACATGTACGTATACAGGTATATCTATAAGTATAGGTATTCACACGCGTTATACTTTGTGTAGTCGGACACGATTTTTTTTTTTTTATCATTCAGAACTATAGCCCTGTAGGTACTCGTATTATCTATTGCATTATCGTAACGGATAATTATTTTCGACGACACGCCGGCATCGACAACGAGAAAATCTTCAGAATTTAAAGAATTCAATTGTCTTACCACCGTATATTATTACAATTTATTGCGCAATTCAACAAAATGTTCAGCCGTGCCACTAATTATTTTTATTAACACAGAGAATTTTTACGAAATTTAGATGAAAAATTAATGATAAATTGATAATAATGTAAAAATTTAAATAATATAAAATTCAAATTTTATTGTTTGTAAGAAATCTTTTGCTTCGTATTGCTTGAAAGCTTTTTTATGTCTTGTGTTGATAGGCTAGGTTTTTTAGAAAAAATCACAATTATTAATAACAGTCTGAAGTTGAACAGAAATATTTTAGGTCATTTTTAAAATTTTTTCTTTAACATTATTTCTACTCATTTGTAATTCTTGAGTTCTTGGAAGTTTTTTCTTTATTATTAAAATCTTGTAACAAACTAGGAGCAGCTTTTAAAATGACCGTCTTTAAAAATTTGACATCAGAAAATGGTTTTGAGTGTTTGGCAATCAAATAAAAAATTTAGAAAATTACTTCAGTGATATTATTAGCGGTTTTTACAAATGTACAAAACAAATTAGAATGGTTTTAAATTACTTACAAGCGTTATGAAATAACTTCTTTTCTTTCGGAAATATTTAATTTGAAAATTTCTTTGTGGTTCGTTTCAAAATGTCATTTAATAATAGATGTTTAAGATACAATAACTTCAGAGCACAGATCGCATTGACTTTTATATTCATAATTAATAAAGCCATATCAACATTGTCTATGATGGTAAAACATTCTGTAATTTTTGTTTTTTTTTTGTAGTAAAATGTTGAGGAAAAATAAATATTAATAACGTAAAACTCGCACACAGTTGTGTCTCTCAATATACAAACTAGAATTGAGTAGACAATAACTTGTCCACATACTTCATAACACAGTGTCCCAGAAAAAAATTCCAAAATATAAAATATAATAATAAATAAAACAGTACGTCGTTGTGAATTATAGATTATTAATACATACCTATATATTTATTATTGATAATTCAGTTATATTATAATACAAATTATATGTTATTAAAAAATCTATAAATATATCATATGAACACATGAAAATCTTTCGGGTGCTTTCGGATGCCAAGGTTGGCACTTGTGCAACTTATTTGACATCTCTGATATAGGGTATTCATTTAAAATAATAATCATCGAGATAATAAATGCGATTTAAATAAAAATATTATGATTATTTTTAAAACTTATAGGCAAATCCGATCTATTTTTCATTTTTAAAACGTCACGACCATTTCGATTAACCATTAGAATGCACTCTCGCACTCGAGAATATCGGCAATAACTTATTAGGGTTGACGTGTACACTGCAATACCATTTATAATTTAATTCATCGATCCATTAGACTCGTATTATATAATACCTATATTTGTATTTGATGAGCTACCTCGTGTTCTCGACAACTGTATACATGTCGTGTTTTCGTACGCTCGAGTTTTCCCTTTAATATACTTTCGTGAAATATTATTTTGTTTGAAAAATCACTTCGCCTAAGTATATACTTTTCACAATCTAATAATCAAATTACTGCAGTGTTCACGCACTACTCGTCTTGGCGTTTCGAATGCGAATTGCGATTGGTTCATTAAACATTTTTTCGAAAAAAAAAACAATACAAAACAATAAGTGACACACCCGTTACAATACAAATTTACTTATAAATACCTTTATGGGAGACTGTTTATTTTTTATCCATTTCGCCAAAGTAACCTATGTATATACAATATTCAATTTTCGTTTCAAAAATACTAAAAACTCAGCCAGTGTCAGTCATTTTTTAGGGGTTGAACTTCAAGATAACAATTTGACAGCGTTACTTACGTATTTTTTTGAATGTCAAGTATGCAAAGTTTCGTTAAGATCGGAATAAAATTGTAGATTTGTATAAAAAGCCAACAAAATATATAGAATTTAATTGTGTATAATATATTATATAGAGTATATCAATCATACTATCTAGACAATTGTTCAATACCTTCTGATTAATTTATATATATTTTTATTTTGTATTTAACACGGCTAATAGGGTTGAAGTCCCCCTGCAGAGTATATCACTAAGCCTATATAGTATAGGTACGTTTGTTCTTATAGCATACAATAATATATAGATCACTATCTCCATAATATTATAATAATATACATTCAATGCCAAATTGAAAATGTGTCACAACTATCTCTATATAGCCAATAATAAATAATAGATTATATTAATCTTATTTGTTTTTAATTGTTTGTCACGAGGAATTGAACATGGTCGAACAATTAAATAAGTACCTCATATACGAACAATAGTATGCAGTATTAGTAAGTAAACACGTTTTGCCTTGACAATTTCGAACAATTGAAAACAAAAGTAACTAAAAAGAGATACTAGTTGATTTTTGGTGGAACTCTAGTCTCTCAACATATTATATAGTTTCAATACAATTCTGTATAGATACCTATGTAGTATAAAAATTGCGTTTAAATTTAATATCTATTTTCATAACAATACACTGCTGCAGCAACCGATACTTTAAACCCTTATAATGAATTCATAGATCCAGATAAAAGTATTGCCACATCATATTATTATAATATCTCAACTTAAAAAAATGCAGTATATTCAAAGTACTTACCAACCTATCTATGTATACAAACCAGAGTTGGACTGGCCTATGCTCTAGACTGGCAATAGCTAGTGAGACCCTGTCTGTATTAGGCCTTTTTATTATTGTACACAGCTCAATTTTTTTTTCGTATCGTAGGTACACAGGGTAATCGACATAACATACGACGTTCATTATTTCGGAAAAAATTGACTTTTTCGAGAACATTTAAAAATTTCATTATATATATAATATTCCGTCTATTAATGGAATTTGTATTGTAGATTGCCATTTGACAATCAAAGATGGTTTCATTTCTTAAAATAAGTATGACAAAAAAAAAGAGTAATGTAACATTTTAAAGTTACTAATTTCTTCAATTGTCTAAAAGCGCCTTAAATGTTCTCGAAATAATAATAATACTTTCCGAGATAACGAGCGTCTTACGTTATATTGATCACTCTGTACGTCTATTTTTGAATCAGTGTAAAAATATGTATATAACGTACACCAATAAGTACGATAAGTATTCAAAATCAAAGTATGGAGAGGCATAATATAGTGTGAACCAATAGTTGGGATTATTGCTGGGTACAATATTGAAAGGCAGTATTATATTTTAAAGTATACAGGTCAGTATACAAGTATATGGTTTTGTTGAAATCTATGGGTTCCTGACTATATTATATTATACTATGTTAAATTATTATCGCTGTATAATATATATTTCAACCAAAAGTACAATTTTAACCGAGTCCCCGTGTCCGTAAAACCTATAGATATTATGTAAAAAGATTACAATTTATAAGTCTGATATCTTATCAGCACACAAGTATAATTAACGGAAATCGCTGGTGAGATCTTCAGTACCCGGATTTATGTCGACGTTTTCATAATTTATCAATATATTGTCAACAGATACCTATTGTTTATTCAGATAAGTGGAAATAAACCATTGTTGTAACGTAGAGAAGTTTCGCGTGACGTATAGATATTAATTTTTTGAAACTTTATAAAATATTCCTTCTAATATAAATTCCGGCAATATTCGAGTAGGTATAAAAAAAAAGTTTGGTGCACACTATAGGTTTTGAACCAAACATAATATTATTATTTACGAGTATATTAACTAATCTAAAAGTAACGATTTTGACGAACTTGCCAAAGTTCAAAAGTTACACGCCATGATAGATTGTTTTATGTTATTTACACCATTATTCATATTGTTTTTAAGTGCCGTACGTAAATATACTGCAGTATACATATTTACTTATTGTGCATGCAGTGTCGTATAATGTGTATTGTTTGAAAACTAAGTACCTATTCTAATAATACAGTCTGGCGGTTTTAAAACTCGACGACTATTATAACTTATATTATGCAGTAAGGTACCTTGTTTATGTAGATTAAAACCGTAGTACGATATTAGGGAAGAACTCGAGCATTTTGAATTCACGTGTCGAGTAAAAATAATATGTGATGTTCAGACGATATTGTAAGAATACATAATATTACGGACACTGTCGTACAACAGCTCGCTGTGAAACCGTTAATGAAAGTAGTATGAAACATCAACACAAAGAACCACGTATGGCGCGTATACCGTATTAGATTGTACGAGTATTATAACATACCTATAGTCTACGCAAACACCGAAACACGCGTTTTATCTATCTTCCCGGGTAAAGTAAATTAAATAATATAATTCGAGACTTAAAAGTAGTATACGATACATCGTGCAAGTATAATTCTGAGATAATTATATTATAATAATACCCGTTACGTATATAAACAAAGTTAATCGTTTTATAAAATCCTTTGATATTTTAAGAAACACTCACCGCGTCAATATATTTAAAAATATATTTATTTATATTTAAAAATGGGCATAAAGTTCATTATCTATTCGCCGTATGCGTACTTAATATAATAAAAACCGAAGAGAGATAATTTTCTTTGCGCTTAACGTTGAGTAGATACATTAGTACAGTAAAAGTTAGCAAATAAACTAAATCCATATTTAAACACCTATATTTTTTAGTGCAAAATATCATTGAGTTACGACTGACTACGGAAAGAAAAGCACCTAATACGTTTAATTAATATATTGGATATCGTTGTCCGCTCTATCGAATCGTAAATATTATTATAAACTCGCATAACACTGAAGCAAATAACATGTTTGTTATCAATTTTTGTCGTTCCTTAGAACCTATCTAAATATATGTATTATAAAAATATATAAATAAAAAATGTAAAACGCGACTTATATTTTGACTGTGATATACTTGATAGTTCACAATTTGATATTTATATTGGAAACACAAATAGGTACTAAGACTGGGCATTAAATAGTTAAAAAGTATACAATTTAGTTGATTTCAACTTTTAACTTAGCTTTTAAACTTTTTCATCAACTTAACTTTTTAATTTAATTTTTTTGTTTACATTAATTTGGGCCGGTTTTACCACCTATAGATAAAGTATGAGATAAATTTCTATTGGATAATGTTATCCAAGACATTTATCTTATTGATAAATAATATGTGTTCTACAAATGATTTTTGTGTTATGAATAGCCATTGGTTAGTAAATCTGTAGTTAAATTAATTTTTAATACATTATTGATAATAATTGAAAGATACCGTACCAACTACTTTTACCGTCTTATCGTGTGATGTATATTCGTAAATTAAATCTAATTAAATAAATATTTTTATATTTTTATAGATTACATTTGATTTGTTAAATATGACTTGGTCATAGGTTGAACCAGGCTATCTAGCAACTATATCAAGAATCTCAAGTGAAGATCCTCCAACTACTTGGACATTTAATGAAAAATAACCTTTCCTATTTCTGTACACTTCTGCTATATTTCCTCCTAAAATTATAAATATAAGTAAGTAACTTCATTTAATTTAATTTAAAAATTAAATAATGAATCAACTATGAAGTAGTTCAGTAAATTACCAGGTGACTGAAGTTTGACGTGAGTATAATCAATAGCAACTATAATTCTTGGAAATCGTGCGATATTGTAAAATTTCAATCTAGTTTCCTGAATATTACAATGATTCTCTGACATTTTAATATAGAGTGGTCTTAAGGAAGCTATAGCTTCAGTAAATGTTCTAACTATATTACAGACTGAAGTTTTACTAACATCTACAAAGTCCACAGCAGCAAGTAAAATTGTCCCTAATGCATAAAACCTAAGTATCAATAACAATTTTGTTAAAGGCAATATGGCACGGTTTATGAAAAATAAATAAAAACGAAATGTTTATTTACTTATTTTTATTTTTTTAATAGAAACAGAATTATAATTTATAATAATAAAAAAAAAAATTAAATTTTGAGCACTGCTTGGAAACAAAACAGTGAACATTTAAAAAATACTGGGAATTTTTCACTTCCGATCACTTAGTTTATATCTATTTCTATTTCTTTTTTTTTGTTATTACTACATGGAATCACCGAAGAGTAATTTTTAATATTTGATGTTGACGTTCTTAGTAAAAATTAAAAAATCAATAAAAAACTACAAAATTTCAAATTTCAAAGGCACAAAATTAATTTGAAATCACAGATTAAACCCCTGATTACATCTTATCAGTGTATCTATCACTAAAAGCAAATTGCATCCGCAGATATTTTTTGATTGTTTTATAAACTGTATTATGGAAACATGGAATACTATATTATGTATTATATTAATACTATATTGTAATACGTTATCAGATTTCACTGGATAATCTCAAACCGAAGAATCGAGAAACTATAATTATATATAATTTGTATCACAATATATCTAAAATTTACTTAATTCGTAATGATTATACTATTATCTATAGATGAAACATGTAAGCAAAAATTTACAGGACATTTGCTCAATAAATTTTTACATTATAAATTATAAAACAAGTAAAAAAAAATAAAGGTCTGGGGGTGATTTATTACCTAAATCACTATCCTAGTTATACCACTGGAAAGAAGTGTCAATTTTTATTATCAATTATTGAGCGTACCTAACTATATTTTTGTCATTTATTTTAAAACATTTTTATATTTTCGGACGGCAAAAACTGTTACAAAAGGTTCTTGTATATGCCTTATGCCTTCTGAATCATCCCGTAGAAATACCTATACCATCATATTAATTTACATGTATCCATGTATATTTCCACTTCATTATCGTCGTCTTCGACTGGTTCGTTGGTCATCGTATCCACTTCAAATTTTATTTTTGACATTAACGTTAAATTTGTTTTTGTGTGTAAGTGGTATATATATATACCTCAGCGTGAGAAACTGAGAAATTCAATATCCCTAGTATATAGTTTTTGAAATAAATAATATAATAATAATTTGATTTTGGGTAAATTTACCGTAAAATAAAATGGGAAAATATTCGTTGAATACATTTTGTAATTTATGTCTTTTTCACACGCCATTTATTGGAAATCGGTAGGTATAATCTAAACGACATATTCATAACTAAAACTATACACGTGTATATGTATTAAACCATATTAAATACAATATACACTTTAATAAATATAAATTCAAGTATAAATGGGTGTTATAATATAATTAAACGAATTTACCCTATAAATATAATCACTTTATTATCAGAATCTTATTTTTTTTTTCAGGGGCGGGGACAGAGGCATATATTTTAATTATGTTGTTAAAATAACTTATCGCAATCAAATCCAAAATAATAATTCCTATAATTTAATAGTTTTATTTTCGTTAAAACGTGCATGGCCAAACCGAGCTGTGAAATAATACGTTCGTAAAATGAGTAGCTAAAATAATATTAGATATTATAGCGACCGCAATACCGCATTCCAAAAAAGCAAAATTAAATGTCGGAATATGATAGTCATGGTTAGTCATTTTGTTTTTAGTCACAATTTAAAACATTGTATTACGATTTCACACCAATTCACAATGGTAATTATCATTAAAGAGTTGAATCATGGTTATAGTCATCGACATGTTTTCGTCCTGCATAGTGTATGGTATGTACAGTTGTATGGTACTTTTCAGTAGATATTTAACGTACCTAGGTTATGCATAAAATAATCAAAAAAAGAAATGTAGGTTTGACATTTAAATGCTAAACGTATTTAATTAAATGTTTTTTTTTTTACGCATAAGTGCTACGGAATTTTGATTTATCACACTTTTAAAGTAGTACCTGTATTTATAAGTTCTTAAACATTTGATTATAAATGGAGGTGTATTATTATATTATATAATAATACATTATAAAATCAGTAAACAAATAAATCGTAATTTTATTGTATAGGCTAACCAAAATAACGAATGTTTTAATAAAAAAAAGTGAATATAGTATGGTTGAAAAGACAAATTATTATGTTTTGACTAAGATTTTAGTATACTTTGTCCATACTCTCCAGTATACGTAAAACCTTTAGCCTTGTAGACATCCCTACTGAATTCCATAATAATAATTAATAATATACAACAGTGTAACACGTATTATATTTGTATATTAAATTTATTTTACTTGCTTTATACAGTTGTGTTTTTTCAGTATTCGGTTACCCTTAGACTAAAATACGAAAATTACTACTATTTCAAAAATTTTATTTTTTTGTTACACTGATACGAGTATATTTAAAACAAAATATTTATAATTTAAACACTTTCGTGTTGATGACTATTAGGTGCTCATAGTTCATTAATCGATATATTATTATATATGAATATAATTCATAAAACTATTATCGTAATTACGATATTGATAAGCGCAAATAGTTATCTATTACATAATAAATACTATACCTAACGTATTACTAGATTGAAATCCGATAAGTATTGTTTTTCAAAGTCAATTATCGATTATCAGTTTACCATTGCTATTAGCGTTTTAAAATGTATAAAAGGGTATTATGTAATATAACCCAACTAGTAACTACCCGAGTATAAAATACTTTCGTAACATTATAGTACCTATAAGACCTAACATGAACATATTATTACGATTTAGAATTTTAAGAATAAAGTAGCTATGGGTATAATCTTCAAAAACTTTCAGTACCTGTATAATAAAAATAACCCACACCCCACACTTTTTATACCTAGTATACCTACCTATTTAAATAAAAAAATACATTAGGTATACTAGTAAAAGCAATAACGTAATAATAATTGTATGCACGCGAACAAATAATAAAATCTAATCATGAAGTACAAAATATATTTGTAGATACACATACAAATTACAGTCTTCCGAATTTCGCTACAGTTAAATTTTACAGAAAATACTTTATTTTTAAAAAAAATACTTATTTAAAAACTTTTTGAAATCATACTTTGAAATGATAAATTGTCCTGATAGTCCACGCCGTTACACACATGATGCTCACCAGCCCCCCTATTCTCGCCTTACCCAAACTTAAAAATGGAATATCTCGTCGACAGTCAATGAATTGACGGAAAATAAACAATTCAACCCGTGGCATCCATTGCGGGATGAGTATGCAAATGCATTCCATGAATTTCTTTTAACACATTTAAAATATGTAGATAGGTCCAGATTATGTCATAGAATTATACTATCATATTATGATGTGTGCTTTTAGATTTAGAGCGAAGCGAGAAAAAGGGGTAACCGTCTTCGGGTATGCAGATGACGGGGCGGTCAAGCACTCGCTTCGGCCCTCGAGTGAGGGAATCTAAACAAGCTCTGTTTTTCCGTGGAGAAAACCGAGGTACTTTTAGTCCGAGGCCCTCACGCACGTTTTCCACTGATTCGGATGAACGATGCCCGAGTTAAGTTCGTCTCGAAGGCGAAATACCTCGGAGTCATACTCGATCGAAAACTCAATTTTGCGGTGCATGTTAACTATGTAGCCGATAAAGCTAAAGGTCTGGCACTTAGGCTGCGGGGAATAGCCGCCACACGCTGGGGCCTTCGATCACCCGAACTAAGACTCATATACAAAGGAGCGATGGTGCCCACAGCAGTATACGCTGCAAGCGTGTGGGCCCACCGGCTGAATCAAAATGTTAGCTTAGCTGCAACACTGTACCGGGCGCAATGGCCAACCCTGCTCTCAAAAATTGGTGCGTATCGAACGGCACCCACATCGGCATTACAAGTCCTAGCGAGGTCACTACCGCTAGACTTAGAAGTCCGCAAAAGGTCTGATCTATATGATCGCCGTAGAGCGCTAGCTGAACACCAGCCGACTCGATCGCTCGCGGACATAAAATCCGCATTAGTTCGCAAGTGGCAAGAGCGATGGGACACCGCCGTCACCGGCCGTGTCACATACGCATTCATTCCCAATATCCAATAGGTTCTCGCGCATCGATGGTTCTCACCGACTCATTTCTCCGCGTAGTTTCTCACTAGACACGGTGCTTTTCAAGCATACTTGTATCAATTCGGCATAAGTGGGGTCGCGGTGTGCGACTGCAACGGGTTCTTCCACGAGGACTCGTGGCAAGTTCTTTTGCACTGTCCACTGCACGCTGAGCTACGATTGCAACTAACTGAGGCCCTGTGCGTCTCGGAGATCCGGGGGCCGACCTAACCGACCTGCTGGCATCTTCCCCGTCACTCGTGGCTCTCGAGCGATTCGCGCGGGCTATACTCCCACAAAGGGAGCGGCACGAGTAAGTGCAAAGTATCGCGGACAAGTTAAGGGAACGCTTAGTCCCTAACACTAAATATGACGCAGCACAGCCAACCGGTTTGCGTAAGCCAGATAAATGGCAGTCGGACGGCTGGACCTCTAGACGAGTACTAGCGTCTTAGATCAAATTAAGTCTTTCCTACGAGAAAGCACGCGACGCCGGCCGCGGGTGATTAATGATCCAGAAACGGATGTGGGTAATCGCCCGCGGGGTTGTTTTGGTGCGGTGGACAGTTGCGTTTGCGCGCAACGTCCGTCAGGGACCGGTGGGGGCAACCCCCTAAATCTTAATATTAAATGACCAATAAATGAAATACTATGCACGTACTGCAATATAAGAATTATAATACTGTTTCGTAAATATATATATATATATATATATATATATAATTGACTTTAACTTAATAATATATACAAGTTGACACAAAGATATGACATCTGAGATAAATTCTGTTCTGTTAAATATTTTTCAAGCTTTTTTTTTCGTAATAGTTACTAGAACTTTGTGCTATAATTTCTTTATTTTACTAATATTTTTTGAAAATAAATAAAACGAATTTAAAATTGTTGTTACAGAATTCAAGATAAGTAGCAATTTGATAAATATTATTTTGAAACAATATATTGGTGCTACAAATATTTATGTGACATATTTTGTACAATTTTTGGATTCTGAGTGGAGTGAAGAAGCTTGCTATTTTACAAAGATGTTTATTTTTTTATTTTTTTGTTTTGTGAACAACTTTTCTACCAGCAATCTTGCTCCGATTTTTACGTGTAGCATCTTTATCGAAAGGAAACCAGTGTGAGAAGGTACATTTATAATTTTTTGATTTTTTCATGAGTTTTATCATCAAATTGGAAAACGCAAAAAAACTGGGAAAAGGTACGAAATATATTACTAAAATTTTACGATTTTTTTTCCTGTGCACAACTTTTCAACCAGTAATTTTGCTCCAACTTAAAATGATAGCAAAGTTACAAAAAAGAAATTTCACTAGAGAGGTGCTTTAGAGAGGTAATTTTTCGATTTTTCCAAGAGTTTTCAAGGAAAAAGTTAAAAACCGGGATAAAACATGGTAAAACCAAAAGAAACGTAGCAAAACAGGAAAAATCGGTACAACATTAAATAAATATTATTAAAGAAAAAATATAGAGCCTATTTAATTATTTTACTATAATATCACATATATATTGTTGACAAAGCATCACTATCAACTGAACTCCTCTCAGAATCGTTTTTTCGTAAGCAAAAGTTAATCGTTGCGTACAAGTATATATTAAATTACTTATAACAGTGGCTGCGCCCGTCACCATTATCCTAGCACGTCTTTTTGAAGCTTACGATACTTAATTTAAATTGTTTTCTTTGATTTACCAATTATTTCTCAATGAAAAATAATTTTATTAATGATTTACAAAAATCATTAATAAATTGGAAAATTGTAAAAACTTTAAAAAACCCATCATTAGGAAATATTAATTTTAAAATATATTGTAAATAAATTTTTTGGATTCTATAAAAGAAAATTTTTTAAACAATTCATTTTTTTTGATTTTTAGTTTTAAAAATTGTAAAATCGAGTAATCTAATAGAGCAAGATTCTAAGAATTTTTACAAGGAAAAAAATCTAAACATACTTATTGAACGGAACAAATATTATTTCAGGTTTCAAATCTTCGTGTTACACTTTGTATAGCAGGAATACAATAATTATGTGAAATGAAATATGTTAATGGTAGGTATTTAATTTTAATAGATTAATTTTAATATACTTTTGTATTTTAATTGAAAATAGCAATAAAATGTATTGTTGTTTTATCGTTTATAAAATGCGATTATATGTACATTATATAGGTACATATATACATTAAAAAAAAATAAAAAAATAAATGTTTTAGTTTAATACTCAATAATATACAAAATATAAAAAATTAAAAATACATTTACATTTACAATTTTTTTTAAGATTAATTAATTAAGTTTTTATTTTTTTTCTATTTATGTTAACAATAATAATTATTTATAGTGAAGATCAATAGGTTCAAATTAAGTAGAACTTGAGGCTTATTTCCTTTTCGAATCTATTTACGAATTAAATGTCTCCCCTACAAATTTATAAAATAATGTTCACGTCTCAGCCAGAAATGGTTTCTTTAATCATCATATTTATCATAAATAGTTTTGGCTTTGGTTTTCACAAAGCTCAGATCGCGGGTATAGTTTAAACCGTAAACACTGAACAGTGAGAGTGAACGTACATATAGTATTAGTATTTAACAATTGTTGTATTACTTATATTATCAATACAATTATAATTTACTATAGGTAATTTTTATGACTATTTAATTATTAGGTATTATGTTTACATTTATAAATTAGTCAAAATCCCCAAATCATCCAAAACTCTGAGAGACAATATTGCCACTTAAATTGCCAGGCCACTGATTATCATAATATATTATGTTATACTCGTATACTCATATATTTCTATAAAGGACAGTGTGCATGTTCTAAATTTGTACAAACTTTGCCACTTTGGGAACAATATAACTTAATACAATGCGGCATCGTGCGATCAAACGAAATCGAAAACCTACAAGTTTATTGCTTTGTCGTAGGTACTCGAACATAATATACAACCTACTATTATTATACGCACAATTTTTTAATACATTGCCAAACTATAATAATGACACCACTATACAGGGTACAATAGGACTATTTGACATTTTTATAGTGTTGTTACATGTAAAAATGTCAAATAATGCAGTTACACTCTGCATAGATTTTCGGTCTGGAGTATTTTTATTTTATTTTTTTTTGAAGGCATCCACTAAAAGCCAATACGAATATAGGTATGTGGAACACTATCAGTATATTATTATGCAGACAAACTATTTTAATTGCATTGACCGATGCACGGGCATATTTATTCGTTTTGAATTTTAATCCTTTTACAATGTAACGAAGGGCAAAAGTTTAAATTTTATAATTCAATTTACATTTTTGTACGTTGTTTAAACTTTTTTAATTTGACGAGTAAAAAAGTAAAAGGTTAACCTGTCCTTTATACATTGATTTTTTTTTTTCTTTACGCAAGTTTATGTCTCGTTTTGTTTCTATATTATATTCAGTAGACAGTTGTAATTTATATTATATACCTAATATAGCTGAAACCAGTGATACCTACGATGATGATTTTTGAAATCGAAACCGGTCGTAAATATATACGTTTTAACTTATTGTACTCCAAGACACGTTTTTTCTTATACTTATATTATACATACATTTTTTTTTTATTATTTATTTTATATACATATATTAATAAATTACCCGTTTGTTTCGCATTTAATTGCTATATAATATAATATTTTATGACTATTAACCTCCAAAACAATATGTTTTTGTTTTTTACTGTATAATAGGTTTCGTTTATTATTATTTTTTTTAATTTCCAATTGTATTTTAGATACAGGTACCTACCACTTTTCCACACATAAAATATTTTTTACACTATTGCGGTATTTAATTTTTTTTTAAATATATACCTAATGTAAAACGTAATAACAAACTTACAACGTATGGTTTGAAATAAAATACTCTGTTTATAGTACCTATATACAATGAAAAATATTTTTATAATGTATGCTGAAATTATAATACATAAAACATTTTTTCAAAACTGTATAATATCTTATTATTATTATTATTATTATTATTATTTTTTTAAACGCTTCAGATTATATTTTAATTCGAAATATCCGGCGGGAATTATTATTTTAGGAGTTGGGAAAAAATATATTAACATACAATTTAATGTTATAATATAATTATATTATTATGATTTAATCCGCAATGTCTGCTGTAATTCGCCACTGTTTTCGATGTAACTGCGGAATTGGCTAAGTAATAATGTAGTGACCTACATCCGCGATAACCTATAGAGTAATCGTAGAATACAATAATGGATATTGTCTGATTTTATTTGATTGTAACCATGTTTAGATGGTAAAAAATAACATCCGAACATCGGTTATATAATAACAGTTATATATTATGTAGACGTGTATCCGTGTTGGTATATAATAAGGAAAATCACAACATTGGAGACATTATCGGCTATAGGCTATGCGTAGGTAGGCGGTAAATTTAATAAAATACCATAAGTCGTCGTATATACAGCGTGATCAATCTATCGCAAGACCGTCATTATCTCGGAAAGTAATAGCTTTTTTTGGAATTTGTTTTACATTATATTTAAAAAACAAGCAGCTCTACAATTTTCCATTAATGTTATTTTCTGTCACTCTTATTTTTCGAGGCAAGACCACTACCCACTTATGCAGATTTCCAAACGGCAACATATATTAAAATGTGCATAAATAAATAGAGCGTTAGTTAAAATAAATTTTGTGGTTTTGAATTTTTAATTTCCATCGATCTGTTGATGAGATGATATTCCACTTTTAAGATTAGTTCGGGAGAGTATAGTGACGCATTATTAAAACGCCGCGTGCCGTGCCGCCACACAAATGATGCTTCATGCTACTCTCCTACGATCTAAACTTAAAAGTGGAATATCTCGTCAACGAATCGACAGAAATCAAAAATTCCAACACCAACATTTATTTTAATTAATACTCCATCTATTTATGGA